CACACACACACACACACACACACACACACGCACACAAACACACAAACAAACAAACACACGCACACAAACAAGTGCAGCACACGTGAAGTTGTCAACATGATGTAAATGTTTAACAAATCACTTGTTAAATATCTTTACAGAAAAGATGCATGAACTACAACTACATATTGTACAAACTTGTCTTATACATAATATTATATGTTCAGAAATAATACGAGGAAAATGCTTGTAAAAATTCTCAAAAGTCAAGGTAATTCAAATTCAAAATGACTGAAGGTATAACACAAGTAAACTACTATTAACTGTAAATGTTCTGTAAAAACAACAGCAGCTTTCAGCCTGTCACCATGATGCAAACATGAAATATCAGACATACAGTAATAGTTACAGGTTTTTTATTCGGTTGCGCTGCTTTTCCATTGTTTTTTCTATGTAAACATGGATGCGTTTGACTGTTACGCTCACGTCTCTTGCATGAAACGGCAGTCTAAAAACACGCCACTCAAGTTAAAAGAAGTTCACCTCCATCTTCTTGCAAGTTTTTCCTATTCCACTGCCCGCGTCGCATCTTTGTCAACACAAAAGCGCATTCTGTGTGAATGAGCGGTTAATCACGTGCACCGACATGCGGTTGGCATATTGTCAAAGTGTCTAATTCTAACGTTTGGTAATATTTATATTCAAAATCGCGATTCCTCGATTTCAAAACAATTAAATCGTGGCAAAACATTAAATTCGAATTAATCGATAAAATCAGAAAAATGGCCCAGCCCTACATACAAGGATATAAAAAACTTCAGAATAATGCGCAATAAGACCAGGAAAAATGGCCCAGCCCTACATACAAGGATATAAAAAACTTCAGAATAATGCGCAATAAGACCAGGAACATTTATTTAGGATATTACGCAAAAGTGACCATGAGCAGCATCAAGAGACTGGGTCAGTCCAGAGTTATTTTAGTATTTATATACTAAAATAAATGTATATACTATTATACTTTTCATTAATATTTTAAATTAGATTTTATTTTTTATATTTTTTGTTTTCACTTTAATTTTAGTTCAAGTTTTAGTAATTTTGTTGTATGTTTTTGTCATTTTTATTAGTTAAAATAAAATAAAATAAATATTTTTATTTGAAATAAAATAAACTATTTTTTTATACATCATATATTACACATCTCATATGCATTAAACATTTTACTGTATTTTATAACAGTTTTACTAAATCTTAACGTTTTACTCAATTAAAATTTTGAATTTGTTTTAGCATTTATATACTGTTATAGTTTTTGAATATTTTAAATTACATTTTATTTTTATATTTTCTCTAAGTTTTAGGAATTTTATTGTCTTTCTCATTTTCGTATCTTAAAATAACAAAAAATTTAATAAAATACAAACAATTTTTTTTTAAATGTGTCTATATAGTTGAATGAATTTGCTTATTTGTTTTAATTTATTTAGTCTTAGATATTTTAGTATTTCAAGTTAAAGAGAAAAATGAGGTTAAATTAAATTTAAATAAGTTTTTTCATATTTTATTTCAAGTAGCTTTTTTTTATGGTTTTAGTTTTAGCACGTCTGCTTCGCTGGCACAGACAGAGACTCAGAAAACAGACACAACATGTCAATCACGACTTTGAAACGTGTCCAAACCCACAGCAACCCTCGAGGTCGGCTCAAAAGGTCAAAGGTCATAGCGTACAACAACAGATGGTTCTGTGGAAACAGCAGCGGAAATACAAGGTGAAACTTAGTAGAAATATATTAAACAGCCATTTAGCCCTGTCTATATTCATAATTACACTTAAAGTATAAATATGGTGTTAAAAAAGTGGGATTGTTCACCCAAAATGAGCAAGCTGCATTGAATTATGTGTGAAATTCTTGAGTGTGTGTGTGTGTGTGTGTGTGTCCAAGACTCTCTAACCTGTCTGACACAATAGCAGATGAGCCAAATGCGCCATCACACAAACACACACACACACACACACACACACACACACACACACACACACTCACTCACTCACTCACACACACACA